GGGGGGCCACTTCTGGGAGGAATCCTGGGAAAAGGGGATGGCGCTCCAGGTCTGTGACTGCCTCACGAGGCCCCCTGGCCGCGGGTCACTGAGCATGCACTGGCTGAGGTGCCCAAGAGAGGGACCATTCGAGACTGCTGTGATCTGGGGGTCACTGCTAACCTAGGAAAGGCACAGAAGGGGTACGCCTGCTCCCCAGCCCTGCTCGTGTGAAGCCTGCCCTGTGGTTGAGGTGAGAAGCCTTCTGTGAAGCAACCTCGCCCTGACACCCACAACTCAGGAAGCGACGTGACTCGCCGGGCGGCAGGGCCCGACACGGCCCTGGGGGAGGGGCCCGGGTCTCCCACTCCCCAAAAGACCACCCCCCGAAGTACAAGTCACCGCCACCAATCCACCAACATCTGAAAACCCTTCAAAACCCCGCAGTGCCGTTTCTCACCAACTCTTTCAAGTCAGAAACCCACTGATGAGAAATCTTCGGCCAAGATTACATTAACATGTAAACCTCGTCGGAAAACAACCAAGTTCCCAACGGAGGGGAACGGGAATTAACGTGCAGGGTTACTGTGGGTCTCCGAGGGTCTGAGCTTAGAACCCCAACACTCCTCGAGCCCTGGATTTCCACTGATCGTTTTTAGGGTGGGGTTCCCTTCTCCACCCAGGAGCACCCCTGAGTCAGAACTCACCCACTTGAGGCTGGGACCGTAGGTGTGCACCACCATGTCCAGCTTCCCCTCATGGAGACAGAGACTTCTCTAGACTGTTCTGCAAGTGCAATCTTACCCATCTCAAGCTCCCATGAAGCCTGGCTTGGGTTCTGTCTGGGCTGGCCTCAAATGGTTATCCTCATATTCTCAGCCTCCCTAGTAGCTAGAATTGTAAGTGTGAGCCACTGGCACCTGACTTAAATGGGGTCTTCAAAGTTATTACCTGAGCCGGGCACCAGTGGCTCATACACGCCTGTAAATCCCAGCTATCAGGAGGCTGAGATCTGAGGATCGTGGTTCAAAGCCAGCCTGGGCAGGAAAGTCCGTGAGACTCTTACCTCCAATAAACCACCAGAAAATTGGAAGTGGCACTGTGGCTC